TACATGTTGCTGCATGTTACATGTTGCTGCATGTTACAAGTTACATGTTGCTGCATGTTACATGTTACATGTTGCTGCATGTTACATGTTGCTGCATGTTACATGTTGCTGCATGTTACATGTTACATGTTGCTGCATGTTACATGTTGCTGCATGTTACATGTTGCTGCATGTTACATGTTACATGTTGCTGCATGTTACATGTTACATGTTGCTGCATGTTACATGTTGCTGCATGTTACATGTTACATGTTGCTGCATGTTACATGTTACATGGTGCTGCATGTTTCTGTAAAGCTCTTCTGATCTGAGGGATGTTTTGTTGTTTCTTTCTAACTTGTGATGTTGTAAAGCACGTTGAGCTAGGGCTGTGCAATTAACCGTATTTTAATCGCAATTACGATTTTGGCCTGCTACAATTACGAAAACAACATAATCGAAAAAAACGATTATTTAGCTTTGCTTGGTTTTGACTGCACTGCAACATATTTGATCTCATTTATTTTAGTCTCGTTTATTTGTATTTATCATATTTACATATGTTTAGTAGCTTGTTGAAGTGCGCTCCAAAATATTTGTTGATCTCGTTTATTGGTATTTATTATTTAAATGTAAATATAAATGTATCATTTAATTTATTTATTTTTGTATTGGTTTTTCAGTTGAATTATACGTTCAGGGTAATCAACAGTTAAAAAGATACTGTTCAAATTATTATTTGTATTTGTTTTAAAGTTCAATAAATGGATGTTTTCAAAGTCAATGAATAATCGTATTTAATAATCGTGATATCAATTATTGACCAAAATAATCGTGATTATGATTTTTGCCATAATCGCACAGCCCTACGTTGAGCTGCATGTGCTGTCTGCAAAGTGCTGTATCAATAAAGCTTTATTCTTCTTCTCACATGTGCTCCTCTGGTCCAGGTGGGAGACCTGTTATGCAAACTGCAGATTATTGTTATCATCAGCGTGTGCCTTTCCACTCGTAACCCTTTCAGCACACCCTGTGCAGCTAACCCCGTCACCTTCAACACTTCATCATGAATCTAAACTACTGACATGCCAACAACAAACATCAATGGCTCCTACAATACGCACAGGGCTTTCATTGTGAAAGGGAGGAGAGGATCTAGTCTGTTTGCCGTCTTGATTATATATTATTATTAATATAGACTCAATGTGATGTGTTGTTGCCTTTATTAGAGCTGAAGTCTCAGGGAAATGGACCTTGTTTTGGACAAATCTCCCCCGGGGTGTGAAGGCCTCTACAGAGAGTCTCTGTCACATGATCAGGGTTATCTGTCACATGATCAGGGTCATCTGTCGGCCAGGTCTTCAGTGTGCTCAGTGGTTCAGTTCTATAGAAGGAGAAAGAGTTAGAGGACATTTTGAGGACATTTAGAGGACATTCTGAGTCTCTCTGCATGTGTTGAACGGGTCCATTACAGATGATATTAAAGTATCTATAATACTGTCTTTAATTCGAGGGCGGTGGTGGCTCAGTCCGTAGGGACTCGGCCTGGGAATCGGAAGGTTACCGGTTCGAAACTCGGAACGACCAAGAAACTACCGAGGTGCCCCTGAGCGAGGTGCTGTCCCTACACTGCTCCCCGAGCGCCGACCTAATGGCTGCTCACTGCTCCTAACACTAGGATGGGTCAAATGCAGAGTTTCCATGACACCAGGCTGTCAGAGTCAGATCAGATTCAACTTTAACACGAAGCAGAGCAGAAGAAACGCGTCATAATGCATAATGAGTATTTTTAATTACACACACGCACACGCACAAACACACGCACACACACACACGTATGAATGCATAGGTGAATACAGCAGTAACCTGTATATCTGTATATATTTAATACATGTAAATAGTGTTTGTAACTGAACGTGTGAGAGTCTCTGATGTTCAGGCTGACATGAGGCTGCAGACGTTGTGCAACACGCTGCTTGCTCTTATCACTGGTTGGGTCATGTGACTTTAGTACTAATAAGGTTTTTAAAACATTTCAAAGATATTGTCACGTTCCCTCCAAAACTAGGGGGGACAGAGGAAAGTAACAACATGTACAAATAACCAGGAGAGAGAAAAGAGTTTCTAAATGAGTAGATAATGTTTCATTGTTCAAAAGAAAGGAAGAAGGCTCAGCAGCAGTTTACCCAACACACTTAAAGGCCTTATGAGGTCCTGATCTAACCTGACACGTGGTTTGATGCGTTGTGTGGACGCTCATGATGTTCTGTCTGCAGCTGAAAACTAAATTAAAGTAAGAACTTAAAAAATATATTTATGAGAAAATCTATAAATAAATTCAATGAAATGAAAAATTGTAATGTCTTTATTCATGAATTGACTTGTTTTTCTTTATTTCTGTGTCACGCTTAATACTTGGACCATTCCACATATGATTATCAGACAGATTATTTTACATACAGTTTACAGACTTGCATGTACAAACATTTGAAAAAGGTAAACAAAACAAAAAGAACAAACAAACTAAAGAAACAACAAAGTAAGTATTATAAATGAGATATCCACATAATAAAAGACTCATTTCTGTTTTTACTAATACTTATATATAATGTCTTCCTTTTAATATTGTGTTTTGAAAGCCACACTGTACTTCGTTGGGCTGCCTCAGTGGGAAGCAGGGATTTCCGAGGCGCTCCTGAAGGCAGCATGTAGTGCAGAGGAACGGGCGTGAAACATATGGAAGTGTGTGTGTGTGTGTGTGTGTGTGTGTGGTGTTGTGTGTGTGTGTGTGTGTTGTGTGTGTGTGTGTGTGTGTGTGTGTGTGTGTGTGTGTGTGTGTGTGTGTGTGTGTGTGTGTGTGTGTGTGTGTAGTGTGTGTGTGTGTGTGTGTGTGTGTGTGTGTGTGTTGTGTGTGTGTGTGGTGTGTGTGTGTGTGTGTGTGTGTGTGTGTGTGTGTGTGTGTGTGTGTGTGTGTGTGTGTGTGTGTGTGTGTGTGTGTGTGTGTGTGTGTGTGTGTGTGTGTGTGTGTGTGTGTGTGTGTGCGTGTGTGTGTGTTAGAATAAATAAAGAGGTTGTTATTATACAGTTATAACAATACAATTAAAGGGACAGTAAGGATGGTGTTATATTATAATAGAGATATAATGATATATTAAGGTGTCTCAGATGTCGTTGATGTGGATGCTGTTATATTATATTAAGGTTAGACCCAGCACTATAATCATTTTGTGTCTGAGTTGAAACAATAAATACATAATATGATATTGGGGGTCATGCAGAGTCATTATTATATATTATAGGATACATGATATTATATATGATATTATATATGATATGGCAAATTCAAAGAAAGTTTAAAGAAATGATTCCAACAAGAAGAAAACCATGAATAAATATCCACAGAGCTTTCTGGATTATTAAAGTAGTTTTATTGTTTTTTTGGTCACATAGTAAACAATGTGTGATACAACATTAAGCAAACGTATCGTGATATAGGAACGGTCCTTTACTAACAAATAGACACAAATGCATCATGCACAACACTCAGAAAAATAGCTCAATATTTCTTCACAAAATGAAGCACAATTCTTAATAAAAGAGAAAAATCCTTAACTATGAAATCAATGAACTTTGATGTAATAAACACAATTCCTGATTACAACTCAATCTCAATGCTTGGAGAATAGGAATATCTTTAAAGTCCAGTCTTAATTAAATGTCTCAGTTACAAAAATTGAGCAAAACTGTTATGACATAGTACGAGGTTATTATAATAATGTATTGTAAAAATAAGCAACATTCTTTACAGCAAATAAATGAGAACAATCTGTAACTATGACATTGATGTAATCTTATGAAATGTTCAGGGCAATCTTTATTAACTTCAAGCTCAACAGCTGATTACCACACGGGGCCAAACACTTGTAAATTAGGAGGATGTTTTAATTACTAAATCAGGCAAAAGTCTTATGGATTTAAGGAAAATGGCAAAATACAAAAATGGGAAGAATTCTTAAAAAGCTCCCACAAACAATCACAATCACATAATATCAAAATGAATTACAACTCAAATAAAACAAATCCTTAATGATATATAATAAGCGCAAATCTTAATTACAAAACTACAGTAAATAGGACATAATTTAATATAAAAAACATTATTTTCACCAAATTACAATCAATTAAAACAAATTACTTCAAAGCAAAATTCTTATGAAATAAAAAAACATTTCTTAATTACTAAAATGTCAAAATACTTATGGAATCCTTAAACACGAGAAGCGTTGGAAGTGTTAATTTTTGAATTTGTGTTATAATATTAATGTTAAGCAACATTTTGGGCTAAACTTCTCACATCAGATTTTATAAAACTGAGCTTTGAATGAAAAAAGAAATAAAAAACACCAAATCTTGACGTGCTCAAATTCACCAGCAGGTGGCGCTGTAACACCTTTCTCCTGTTCTCTCTGGACTCATTGGCATCAGGTATTGCAATGCAGATTTCAGAGGATATTTGACTAGTTTTATTAAATAACATTATTCAGCCGGGGTCGGTGTGTCTTTGGTTTCAAACCGCACCGACTGCTTTGACTTTTCAAATTCAACCAAATGTGTGAGTTGTTGTTAAAGATCTACGTCTTCAGAAGGAACCAATGGGCTTGGAGCTGACAGGAAGTCACAAAAGACATATTGATGGTGGTGTGGTATTTTCAGGTTGAGAACAAGGAAAATACGCTATCTTTTATATGTGATATAACAAATCCAGCCTGCTTTGGTTATACATGTATATAAGAGTGTGTGTGTGTGTGTGTGTGTGTGTGTGTGTGTGTGTGTGTGTGTGTGGTGTGTGTGTGTGTGTGTGTGTGTGTGTGTGTGTGTGTGTGTGTGTGTGTGTGTGTGTGTGTGTGTGTGTGTGTGTGTGTGTGTGTGTGTGCTGTGTGTGTGTGTGTGTGTGTGGTGTGTGTGTGTTTGTGTGTGTGTTGTGTGTGTGTGTGTTTGTGTGTGTGTGTGTGTGTGTGTCTGTGTGTGGAGGTCTTTGGAGCTGCTACTCTGCTCCCTGAGCTCCTTCCTCTTCAGCAGGAACACCCAGGTCATCATAATCCAGCTCAATGTCCTCCTGTCGGCTCGGCCTCCGCCCCCTGGTGGCCTGGAGAGACATGACAGCACACAGTGAGACTTCCTGCATCACTCCTGTTCAATAACACACACTGTTTCATTCAGTCAGTGGAACAACAACATGTTTCAGTACCTCATCATTCAGTCAGTGGAACAACAACATGTTTCAGTACCTCATCATTCAGTCAGTGGAACAACAACATGTTTCAGTACCTCATCATTCAGTCAGTGGAACAACAACATGTTTCAGTACCTCATCATTCAGTCAGTGGAACAACAACATGTTTCAGTACCTCATCATTCAGTCAGTGGAACAACAACATGTTTCAGTACCTCATCATTCAGTCAGGTGGAACAACAACATGTTTCAGTACCTCATCATTCAGTCAGTGGAACAACAACATGTTTCAGTACCTCATCATTCAGTCAGTGGAACAACAACATGTTTCAGTACCTCATCATTCAGTCAGTGGAACAACAACATGTTTCAGTACCTCATCATTCAGTCAGTGGTGGAACAACAACATGTTTCAGTACCTCATCATTCAGTCAGTGGTGGAACAACAACATGTTTCAGTACCTCATCATTCAGTCAGTGGTGGAACAACACATGTTTCAGTACCTCATCATTCAGTCAGTGGTGGAACAACAACATGTTTCAGTACCTCATCATTCAGTCAGTGGAACAACAACATGTTTCAGTACCTCATCATTCAGTCAGTGGAACAACAACATGTTTCAGTACCTCATCATTCAGTCAGTGGTGGAACAACAACATGTTTCAGTACCTCAACATGTTTCAGTACCTCATCATTCAGTCAGTCGAACAACAACATGTTTCAGTCCCTCATCATTCAGTCAGTGGTGGAACAACAACATGTTTCAGTACCTCATCATTCAGTCAGTGGAACAACAACATGTTTCAGTACCTCATCATTCAGTCAGTGGTGGAACAACAACATGTTTCAGTACCTCATCATTCAGTCAGTGGTGGAACAACAACATGTTTCAGTACCTCATCATTCAGTCAGTGGAACAACAACATGTTTCCGTACCTTGCAGTAGAAGTAAAGGCCGACGGTCACCACCAGCAGCTGAGTCAGCGGCAGGACGACGGCTCGGATGATAAAAGGTCCTGGATCTGATGGAACACATGGACAGCATCACATCAAGAGTCAGCAAACACTCTGTGGAGACCTGAACCCTGAACTCACTGCAGCATGGAGTCATTTATAATACACAGCTGTAGTAGTTACATTAAACTGATAGTACTCATGTTGATACTCCAATATAAACTAGAACTGATTAGACAATCAACCGGTTGGAGTGGGAAAAGATGTGAAGGAATAATTAAGCGTTCAGGAGGCCAGTGTCCATTCTGACTCTTGAGAGGCTTCTCAATACTCTCATTTCCCCTCCTCGACTCCTATCCTCGTGTCTTAGTCCCGCCCACAGGAGATGCGAGCGGAGGACTCGAGGAGGGGAACCGAGGAGAGAGGAGGGGAACCGAGGAGAGAGGAGGGGAAGCAGCAGGCGGTTAGAGAAATGAGAACTCCTCTCCTCTGAACGGTCATTTTAAAGAGACGTCCATTAATGATGACAGGAGGCACAGCAGCCCTCTGTCTGACGGACAGATGTGTTCATGATGACTTATATATTTACTTTGATTCATTCACAGTGCGGTATAATGAGACAATAACAGGCTACAAATGCAGACATATACACACAGGCCTTTTGTTCACGAGACCAGGACCATAAACCCCGACTGAAGGAGAGGTTCTGGTCCAGGTTCTGGTCCAGGTTCTGATCCAAGTTCTGGTCCAGTGTCTGCTTGATATCCACATGAAGACACTTGTACTGGCCTACCAGTTGTAACTGGGATTCGTGTTGTTCTGAACTTTCTTATTGTAAGTGATCTGGACAAAAGTGACAGCCAAATGTAATGTAACGGGTGTGACTGCTTCATGTGAAACACATTACTCTCAGATAACCAGCGTTATTATATATATATACTTTATAGCCTTATAAACTGTAACAGCTCACCTGTGACGGTGACGGAGACGGAGAGCAGACGGCTCTCAGAGGAGAAGTTATGAGAAAAAACAAAGAGGTGATAAACACAGCTGTAGTTTCCCTGGTGGGCGGGCTCTGCAGAAGGAAACAGGAAGTGGGCAGAGTGATTGACAGCTGGCTCTGAGTAGTAGTTGTGAGTTGAGTTGATGGAGGTGAAGTTGAGCTGGAAGGAGCCTCCTGGGTACTGAGGCTGGATGGAGCAACTGATGGTGAAGGTGGA